ACAACTCAGGGGACAGCATTTCAGAAAAATTTGAGTCAGGGTATGCACTTGGCATAGTTTATTAGATGAGCTAGAAATGTCCCCCTCTCTCCTCACTTCAAAGTCCTTTGTTGCCATTGAAACTTTAAGGAGAGAATGAGATAATTCACTGCCTCTGAGCCAAAATGAACTTGACAGAAGATCAAGTTGGGCAGTGTGGCAGGGAGTTTAGCCCTTTCATCTCAAAGTTACTTTCTAACAGAACCAAAATGAAAATCTCGAGCACAAAATACTGAAAAGGCAACAATTTGTTGGTAGGATTTGACAATGACACTGCAAAAAAGTTGGAGGAACTGTTAACTTTTTAAACCTTAACATAAATAGTCATATTTTCCACACTGTTCTCTCTGCATTTTCTATATCAGTAATGACAATAAGGAGCTTCAGTTGGTGATCATTTTCCTTATTCTCATGATGTTTACAGTTTAGTTAAGAGTGATATTGTAAGGAGAAATTAGAGGCTAGTCATTCTTATAAGTTAGAGTCTTAAGCTTTTACACCATAATGTCAATATGTATATTCCCCATACTATTATATACACATTTGCTAAGGTGTTGACAAGGAGAATTTGCTCTATAATCAAGAGCCTCTTTAGTTGGTGATCATTTCTTTTATTCTTGTGACCTAATTGTGTGATTTAGGGATGACTTTGTGCGTAGAAATTAGCAAGGGTTATAAAATGCTTTGAAGTAGGAGTCAAACTTGGCAAAAGTGGGTAACTGTGAAAAGTTTATTTAAGGCCAAAAGGTAATTATTTTGATTAGAGTAACCGGCAACATGATGTCAAGATGAACATGAACTCCAGCAGTCACCAGCTTGTTTTGAAATCCATGAATTAGATGCTAGTCACTCTTAGGGTCACAGGGTTAAGAAAGAGAGCTTTTAAAAGTCTTTGAGAGTGTAAGGTATTGTGTAATGGTAATTAGTAGGTTATAGATACTATAGAGTGTAACAATCTAAGAGACAAAGAGATCTTGATCATGTGGTAATTAAGAATGAGTTTTACACAAGATATCATGACAATTTCATGTATGATATACTTGAGCTCTTGGGAAAATAATAGTGAATTAAGGAACAATTTACCTCAAGTGTTGACCTAAGTGGTAGCATAAATCAAATTTGTAACTTATGCTTGAGGTGAATCAAAATGAAAAACAGGGCTAGATCTTGATCAATTAGTAATGCAACCACATTTTTAATCACATTGGTTAATAATTGTTCACCAAAGTAGAGATAAATATCCACCACTTTCACTAGCACTGAGGTGAATAATTTTTTAATTATATACCACACAGATACCTCAAAATTAGTTTATTTCTCTCAATATACCAAAAACTGGTTGGAAATTGAAATCTTGATTATTCACCCCTGGCTGCTCCAGGGGTTAATAATACTTGCTATTCACTTCCAAACCAGCCAATTGGCACTCAGGAAACACTATAGTCTACTTGTGTGGTATATACTAATAATCAGTATCCACAGGGACAAACTAATATACATTTTGTTGTTTTTATCATGAAATGTGTTAATATTGTAATGTTTAACCCACCAGTATTTAACCCTTTCACTCCCAAGATCTAATTAGTAATTCTCCTTACTATCTGCCATACAATTCTTATGATGTTAGTTCAGAGAATTTGGTATTGGATCAACTAATAATCCCATAATTGATATTCTTCTCTACTCTCATTACCTACCTGCTTGATATTGTATTGATATTGTAAGGAGAAATTCTGTCTTGGTCACTTGTGGGAGTGAAAGGGTAAACCAATAAGGTGAATATGTGTATAATAACATAGCATGTGAATATTGTAGTCTATATGCTGTGAGACATTATACCACTATCTGTATAAAGTACATACAGACTAGGTTAGTGGCTTAAAATCCCACAGTTGACAGACTATGATAATCACATATTAAGCTGTTATCTTATTACCAACCAATAAGTAGTTTCTCCATTCAAGACCTGTTCATTATCAAACAGAGATAATGAGAAGAAATGGAAAGAACAATCTAGGGAATATCACTTGATTTTATACTAAATTCTCACAGCTAAAATCACAAGAGAGGCATGAGATTCAGTGAGGAAAACATAGATATTGAGAGACTGATAGAGAAAACTCATTCGCAGAAAGCTCACATGTGGTCTTTACTGATGTTTGGTTCATTTTGTTGTAAAAAGTAACCATATTTTAAGGACTGTAAGAGAGAATTAAAAATTAGGTCTTCGGAGTGAAAGAGTTAAAGGAAACGACCCTTGATTGTGGTTAAAATTTGACAAAGTCTTTAACTGTTTAACTCATTTTCAAACTATTCTTGAACGACCTTCCCGATTTTCTGATGCCCAAGCTTCTTATCGAAAATTTTTTGATTGGCGGACAGTTTTGGATGCCCTGGCAAGATCCAAATAATAATAGGATCAATATCAGTATCTGGGCAACTGCCCACCTACCCCTCCCCTAACTCAACAACTGTCAATTGACAACAAGTTAAGGTTAATGTTGGGTTAGGGGAGGGGTAGGTGGGCAGTTGCCCAGATACTGATATTGATCTAAATAATCCAATTTTATACTCCTCTTTATCAAATTTGACAATAATATTTGGTCTCGTGTTTCCCTACAGGGACGGTGAGGAATGGAACCGAGTACGAAAGGCTTTAGCGTCGAAAATGCTTCGACCGAAAGATATCCGAGACAACCTGGAAAACTTTAATGGAGTGACAAGAGATGCTATAGAACATATGCTTTCAGTGCGGGGTGCAGATGAAGAAATTCCAAATCTCGAGGAGGAACTTGGAAAGTGGGCGACGGAATGTACGTAAACTGTTTCACGAAAGTGTGAATAGATCCATTAAGGCTGTGATCCCAGTGAATGAGGTGTATCACTGATGCAAGTTGCTCTGTAGGTAGAGCCTCTCCCAGTAGGTATCTCCAAGGGACCCTAGAGAAATGGTATAAATACCAATGGAAGAAACCAAAACCCTTGGAGAGGGAGCAAATTACAGCACGTCTAAAACGTGTTTCTTCCTCCACTGATCGGGCGACAGGAAAACAAAAGGCTGAGCATGTTACATGCGCAATCTGTAGGTCCCGCCAGGGGTTTGGATTCTACGCTGACCGTGAGCAGAATTTTTTTAGAGTTAGTCCTGGGTACTACTCCACAGTTGTAAGTAATTAATAATGGGAATGAGTTTTCAACGAAACTGTTGTGCTGCGTCAGTGGGAGAATATAACAGGGTAATGAAATATTCTCAACTGAGTTGCTAGCATAAATTGGCCACCGTCAAGAGTATCAAAGGTGACGTTTCGAGTTCTAGCCCTTTGTCATTTGCTCTGACGAAGGGGTAGTGTTCGAAACGTCAGCTTTGAAATTCTTAACGGTGGCCAATTTATGCTGTTGGTAGCCATCGTGTTTGCTCCCTTTTACCACTAGATGGAGGATTAAATCATACAACCTTTGATTTTGGTTTTTTTTTGTAGTTTAGTTGATTGCAGTGCCTGTGATGGCTGGGCCTTTGGTCCAGGAACTTCTTGGCCCTTTAAATTTTTTTCCTTAAAAGGTTGGCCCTCAGAAGTTTGGCGCCTTGGCCAAATACCCACATCATGCTTTATAAATGATAAATCAGCGCAAATATCTGTTTTTGCTATTTTACATATAGCTGTGGGTACACTGGCATTCGATGTAAGAGTTGGAATGTACGATGACCCACCGAACAAAGAAACCGTGAAAATGATTAAGTCGAGCTCAGACGCCTTTTCACTTATGGGAAAACTGAACAAAGGATGGGAAAGTTTTATCCTCAACTTCATGACGACACCCACGTACTTGAAGTTTTGTGAAGCACAAGACACCTCCATAGGCATTGGTCAGCATATAGTGAACCAGAAAATTATGGAACTGAAGAAAGCAGCCGAAGATGGTGAAGCTCTCAGCCAGGATCAGGGTTGGTAAAACATGTTAGTAAATGCTAATCTGTAGTGACCTGACCGGTGGAGAGTAAGCCTTTGGCGATTTTCCCCGAATGCCATCGACGTGGTTAACCAAAACCACTTTGCATTGGCATAGCGGCCAATTCAGGTGAATTCATTTGCAAGTATTAGTTACCGATATCGTCTTTGTGTTATAGCGGTGCCTCTGCTGACCTACCTCATAATGAAAGGCGAACTTACACCACAGGAGATCAACACACAATCTATTGGGATGTTTAGAGCAGGAGTAGAGACGGTGAGATGATAACATATTAACTAAGGTGGGGCAAAGACCAAATATCACGACCACAATCTTGAAAACGAGCGACAATATAATCAAAGCCTCAGGAGAGGAGTTGCTTTTCTAAAATCATGCTTTGTATTATCACAGAAACTGCAAATCAGTCTATCAGTGTTAAAATCATCTTGCACACGGTGAATATGGCAAAAAAACAGTGACATAATTTTCGAGCAATCAAAGCGCGTGCATCTGCAATTTCACCACATGTAATTTTCGAGGATGAATGAGGGTGGTCTAAAAAGAACAACAAACCGAAAAAATGCAGATTTTTATAATCAGTATACTTTTGGTTAGCTCCCTCACCTTTCAATTACTCAGTTGTCGTTATAGATACATAGATAGATTGATAGATAGATAGATAGTTTTACAGTTTTATAGTTTTATAGTTTTATAGATAGATAGTTTTATTGACTAAAAACATAGCAGCCATAGCCTGAATTACGTCAAGCTTACAATTACAAATATATATATAAATATAGGGTATATGAATACAACAAGAAAACTATAAAGACCTTGTAATATAATATATAATTAAAAATATGAATACAATTAATTAAATATGTAGTTATTAAAAACGTGACTTAGAATAAAACTGTTCTTGCAATGTTCAGTCCTACATCATGGTAGTTTATATAGTCTTTGGTTCCTAAGGCTGTAACTAGATATGTTCACTTCTGGCAAAAGTGAATGTAATTTGTGTTCCTTATTTGTAGAGATCTCGACGAAGAGTCTCGAGGAGATTTTTCTTCTTCCTATATACTTTCATTACCTCGAATTTGATTCAGGAAATATAATTAGATTCCTTCGGTTGATTTTTAAGATAATTCTGCAGTAGAGAAATCCAATTTTCATGAAAAATCCTGAATAATTTTCCCTTGACTTTTCTCCACAGACGTCCACTGGGCTACAATGGCTCCTTTACGATCTGGCCCGTAATCCAAAGGTGCAGGAGAAGGTGTATGAAGAAGTGACCTCGCTAATTGGGCCCCATGGAGATTTTACGCCCGAGAGTTTTGCCAAGTTGACTTACATTAAGGCTTGTGTCAAGGAGTGTCTGAGGTAGAAAGATGTTTGTGTTCACAAATTTTCTGTAGGAACACCAGCTTATTGAGAAGTCTGTACACAAATTGTTCTGCATGTTCAGTTTGCATGATCAATGTTGATAGAGGGAAGGGGGGGGAAGGGGGTCCAAGCTTTGATTCGGTAAGCGCAGATTTTTTAATATATATGTATTTTTTTCACTCTGGATTATTAAAAAAAAAACCAGCAAATATTCCAAGGCAAGTGCAGTGAAAAACTTAAAGTTGAGTAGTAGTATGTGATCCTATCATTACAAGAAGTTTGGTGTCGGAGAAGCACTGAAAAAAAAATCCTACAAGTCTGAAGGGGAGGAGGTGCCAAGCCCCTCCCTTCCTCCCCCCCCCACCTCGTTCCAGAACCCCCCTGCTGGATCCGCCACTGAGTTTCTTCCCGATACAACGTGCATTTCTCATCAAGTGTTTTTTTTATATATATATTTCAATAGAATGCACCCTCCTGCTCCCGACTGGGCACGCCGTCTAAGCCAAGATGTGGTTCTTTCTGGTTACCATGTCCCAACAGGTGTAAGTCAAATCGTTCAATGTTTTTGAACAAGGTTGCACTCTAGTTTTTATTAACAAGTTTTCTGCATCAATTACTTGCCAGTTGAGATGAAAAGGGCATGAAGATATTTTCTTGACAGATCCATTAGTCCAAAGACTGTCAGGCAAGTTTTTGAACAAGCAGATTTATCAAGAGAGAAATCTGGAAACGTAGATGACTTAAATCATATAAAAGTTTTCGTTCCCGCTGTCTACTTTACAACTACAATTGCAAAGAATGTACCTCGATTTTTTAAACGGTGTTCAACAGTATTTGGGAATCTCGCCCCAAGCCCGCGGACATCCTTTCGGCGAAGCTTCCGGCCGAAACTAAGTTTTTAGCTTGCACGTTTTTTGTCTCAGGGCCATTCTTTATCCGAATGAGACTGACGTTAGGCACATGGCTCTTGACAAGTCTGTTGGGAAAAGGGTTTTTTTTCAGAAAACAGTCCAATTCACGGCTATGTTTTAAGAAACTAACTATTTGAACCCATGACCTCTGAAAAACCGGTGCACTGTTCTATCAGCTGAGCTAACAAGCCGACTGGGAGTCGGTCATTAATAAACCCATGTAGTGATGAGTCAATGACTTAGAATATATGAAAATCATATAGGTGAACTGTGGTTTTCCCGTGCAGGCCTCAATGTTTCAGGCCTTATTTCCACTACTGCTTTGTCTTCTTTCTTTAAGACAATCGTGGTTTATTCCAACTATCTTTCTGGGCTCTCTGAGGAGTTGTTCAAGTTTCCTTTGGAGTTCAGACCTGAACGTTGGTTAAACGAAGATCTGGGAAAAGTTCACCCTTTTGCCATATTGCCATTCGGAGTTGGACCACGCATGTGTATTGGTAAGAAGTGTAGTAGTTGTGAATGACATGGAGAGTGTGTTGTTTTAAACGAGTCTCCAAAAAATTGAGCATGCATTGGGTTTGCTTTACTTCGGTGAGTGATTGGTCTTACAAATTAACGCCATCATCTCAAACAATCAGAGGCGAAAGCGAAACTAATGGTGGCCAAATATGTCGCGTTTTCAACGCTTCGGACCTTTGGTTGTTTCCACTCTGAGTTCTGTTGTCCATTTCTGACAAATCTTGTGTTATAATTTAGTGTTAGTTTGTTGACTTTTTTAAACCCAAACGAAAGCCTAGTAGTCAATTTCATTGCCATGATTGATGTTCGTCCTTCGCTAGCGAAAACGACCATGACTTCATTTGTAACTGGGCTCCCTTGAAACAGTCTGTCACAGTGTGGACTTAGGATTGCCGGAAGTGGGCCAGGCTGAGAGATGGCTTGATAAACCGTATATTAACAACTCTCATGTAACTCTTAGTGAAGTCTCTACCTTAGAAAACACACACATCAGCCTCTGGCTTGCTCTAAGCCAAGCACTACGCCCACACCGGCTCATAATGGATGCCAATGAGAGCATATTTTCCCGCCAATTCCGGCGTCAAATGCAGGGAAATACAATTCACTTTACCCCTTGATGGAAATCGAAGACGAAACATGGTAGAATTTCACGAGGCCTTACGACCGACTAAATGGCTTTACTAAATGATAAATACTGAACTGCGAAAAATAAAGTGAATTGCAGGGTTGCAACGTAACTTTTTTTAATTGATGATGGTAATGATAATGATACGAAAAGATGAGGGTGCTGATTGGGAATCACCATAGGCATGAAAATAAAACACCAATTGTTACCTTGATTGATGATGGTTTAAACTGTCGTAATGCAAAAGTGATCTCACCTTACCCCATACATCATCAGTTTTCAATGCTAAGACTGCCTTAAGGAATTTAATTTAACAAGGCCACTGAAAAAGATAAGCTCAAACCATTTTTATTGTGACTGACATATTTGAATAATCTTTCCTCTAGGGCGTCGTATCGCTGAGGCTGAAATATATCTCTTGGCAACAAAGGTAAGCTTATTAAAAAAAATAAGAAGGATAAAGAAAGATGTTTTTTCATCTCTCTTACTCTATTTACAAAAACCACATTGCTGATCCAAGCAGTATACTGGACGCGTGCCATATATGAACCTCGTAATGGGCCTTGCTTACCATAGAGTCTCTGTAGCTCAGTAGTAGAGCGTCGGAGCGCGGAATCCGAGGGTCTGAGGTTCGATTCCTCACAGGGAGTCAGAATTTTGTTCTTTGTTCCACGCTCGTGACAGGACGAAAAAACATCTTTCCCTTCAAGGAAAACTTGTTTGATCACTTCAGTTTGCATGCATGATTAGCACGTTGTAGCAATATCAACTAAACCTGCCTGCCTCATTTTTTGGCCTTCCCATGCCTTGCCCATTTTCTGGTTTTACAATCACGTCCAAGCGTTCCTATATTTTTTACCTGAAAACCTTGCAAGTCAAAGATTGAAAGAGGCGCTTGACTTAAATTTAGTTTACGACTATCGGTATGGCCAGAATTTGAATAAGGCAACCCTATTCATTCACCGACTGAATTGCTGCGAAATTCAAAACCTGACACGTTTCCGACTGTTTTTCTTGAATTGATCATGACAACTTTTATAAACAGCTTTGGGTAACGACATTTTGAGTCCAACTCGGTTATCCTCGAAAATTTGGTTTTATCAACCGAGCTGCTAATCTAAATTGCCCATGGTAAAAGAGCTTCTCTAGCTTACATCCCGAGCGTTACCACTTCGCCCTCGTTAGCCCTTTGCTCTGACGAAGGGCTAACGCTCAAAACGTCATCTTTAAAAACTCTATACGGTGGCCAATTAATATTTGTTACGAGTGTCGATGTAGAGCAGGGTTGTTCTTAGACAAAACTCAGGTTCGTCGGTAACAGCAACAAACTGATTTATTTCCACGTAGTTGACTTATCAACTTTACAGCACTAAGCTTCTTCACAATCCTCTCTCCCTATTTTTTTATGAAACTGTCGCTCTTATATACGTAAAGTACAAGGATTTAGAAACTTCTCTAAAGAACTAAATTCAGTAGATTAACACGGTTTTCAAATTTACGTAAGAGATAGAACGTTTCAGAATGTTCTTATACCAGAAGCTCACGTCTGGATGACTTCGGGTTCTAGACTGTTCTATAGAATGTTCTAGGACTTAACTTAGACAATTTTTCGTAACAATATTATCAACCCAGTTGATAGAACCAAATTATCTTGTAACACCCCCCACCGACGTATTACCATGGTTTCTAACCCCCTCCCCCCATTTCCCTCTGTTATCATCGCCCCGACTTCCTATTAATTATTTTGAAGGATCTTATTCAAGCTTATGTGTGATCATTTTCAGCTGGTACAGCGGTTTGTCCTGGAATATCACGATGCGCCAGTCGGTATGAAGTCGAGACTGTTGTGTGTTCCTGACAAACCACTGAAGATCAAATTTATTGACCGTGCGTAACTTGCTTATATGGATGTTCGTTCTTGACGGTGGGAATAAATAAAATAGACATTTTTTATCAAAAGGTATCGGCAGGATACACTCCATAAGATGTGTTTTACTCAGCGAGAGTCTGTGCCATTTTTTTTTTTTTTAAATCAAGCCCTTCGCATTGACGACTGCCAAATTTGAATTACGCAGAAATGAGTACTTGATTGACTAAAAATAACCAATGGAAATAATATATTTCAAAGCAAAGTGACTATGTGGAAAATAAGAGGTCGTATTAAATTTTAACTCCGAATATTGCATTTCTAGTGTTTTGATTGGTTCCGAATGTTAGCTCATATTTTCGGGCCCAAGTCATCTTATAAGAAAATGCATTGCGAAGCGAAAAAAAGGCTCCAAATATCCAAACGTTTAGGATTTACTGAGATTTCATAAAAACAATTATTCTTTTCGCGGATGTTGGATGTGTAATTGGCTATTTATCATCTCTAATGACGATGATTAGGTAGAAGCTGCAGATTGTGGCTCGCAGAAGGCTTTTTACAGCGCAACTGAGAGAGGAAATTCGTGTATGTCTCAAGCTTACGCGAGAACATTGGGTATGACAATATAGAATGGTGGTAGTATTGAGTGGAGTCCAATTCGATCTGTAATGTTTCGACCGATTTTTTTAATCACCAGTATTATTACAGACAGAATTGGACGACACGAAGTCCTGTTACCAATTAATCACAACCTTTAAAATTTCCGAAAAAAAAACCAAATATATTTATTACAAATATCTCCAGTGGAGACAATGTCCCAGGTTAACAATTTCTCCATTTTGGAAATTCCCCAGTTTTTCGTAGGATAAGTGGTTGTTGCTATGGTTTTTGTGATGAATTCGGTGATTGGTGGATTTAGCTGAGTGGACTGGCTTGCTTCAATTGTCCGACAACAGCCAACTGTCAGATTACAACTTTATAAAGTTATTTGTGAAAAATAAAGCAGTTACTGCACCAATCACATTTGAGAAAATTGTAATGATTATGATTAGACGGATTATTGAAACCACATGCAATTTTGTTTACAAGTTACAGTCGAACTTGTGTTAAGTGGTCACGGGAAATGTCAAGGTGACCGCTAAATACAAGTGAACCGCTAAATACGGGTTCCACAGTAAGGAGGTTTTATGAAAGACAAAAAATCGCAATTTTATGCCTTAATCGACCGCTTAATGTAAAAAAAAAAAAAACGCACTTAAAAATGCTTCTAGCCTTTATTTTGGGAGATGAGCGTGGGTTTAATATACTTAAAACTTTGTTCTCGGTTTTATTTGAGTGGTTTGACTTTAAGTGACCGTTCATTACAAGTGGAAAACAATACAAACAGGCCGTTGGGACTCAATAAAAGGTGACCATAACCGCTTAATAGAGGTGAAAATTATATTGATTAAGGGGAAAGAATTTCGTGATTTTGACCGTGTAATACAGGGTGGCCGCTGAAAAGAGGTTCCACAGTAGTTCTCTTACAAGTTTACTATAGTCATAGAATTCATAGTTCGTGTATTTTCTTCAGAAAGGTTGTGACGCTTTTATCCTTGTTCACCATAACCAGCTTGGGAAGATTCACTCTTACACGACTGCTTGTAAGATGATACGACGTCAACCACGCGCCACGCTCATGTGCTTATCTTAAGTTCATTTAACTGTTATCACTCGTGTCTGGACTATGAGGCATATCTCATTTCACTTTTGAGGTCAGTAGTGTATGTCAATATCAGCCCTTGAACACTTAAGCGATAAACTTCCTACACTTTGCGAGTTTTGGTTGTTGAGGTTCAGCAACTCGTCACGTCACGCAATTTTTGACAACACGACCTAAAATAAACCGACTAGTCCTTTCGTGTCACTTGCTTATCAGTACCTAGAGTCTGCAATCTCGCGATATTTTTTTATTACCATGGACGACACCCTTTACTTTATGACTACAGCTTTGCTGATTTTAGTTGTGATTTTGATTGTGAATCCCTTCGGCAAGCTCCACAATTTACTGAGGCAGCTATTGAAAGACCCAAAGGAAAATCTTTCCGACGGAGTCCGATCCTTTAAGGATCTCCCAGGTCCGAAAGGATTGCCTTATTTTGGTGATATTCTGAACTACATTAAAACGAGCTCCGACTTCAATCGTCTTTTGAAGAATCACCTGGAAAACTTTGACAAGTACGGCCCGATTTACAAGAGGACTGTCATGGGACGAACCGAGATCTTCATCAAAAACCCAACCGATGTCGAAGCTGTGTTCAGAGGCGACGGGAAAAATCCGATGCGACCTGAGATGATTTTCAGGGCTCAAAGGGAATACATGAGCAGCAAGAACCTTCCAGAAGGTTTGGCTTCCCTGTAAGTGAACAGAATGACTGCATTACACTTAGAATAGAATTGTTTATTTTTGTCTGGGATTTCTCTACACTTTTTCAGGGACTGCCATATTTATTTATTTATTTGTGTACAAATAATGTACACAGAGCAATGAGTCTGTCACGTGGTCTCTGGTTCCGCAAGGAAGAGAGAGGACCCTGGGTATGAGGTTGAGTGTTTTTTCGAGGCGGCCATTACTCTTCTCGGCTAATGTTTATTTGGCGAATTTCGACTTGTTTTCGCGGTATGATTAATCCACAAGTTGAGGAGAAGTCGATTGAATTTTGCGACGTTTTCCATTTTTCTATTAAGTGGATTGTGCCAGCTTTATTGCAAGGAGTCATTGTACTCTGATATAAAAGCCTTCTTGACTTGATTTGTGCGGGTTGCACGACGGAGTCTCAAATTGCTCAGACTGTCTCACAAGTGTCACACAAGTGACAAGGAACTGTTACTTGCACTGTATCAGCTGATCGGTCAATGATCGGCTCTCGTGACAATTGCGTGAAAACCAAAGACGTCATTTCGCGTTTTAAAGATCGTTTTTGGAATGTAATGCTCGTGATGTTTTATTTAAATTTGTTTTGTTTGCCGACATTGAAGCAAGTTGGTAGACACTACAAGATGTCGAATCAAGTGATGTTTTGGTTTACACAAATGATGAACTTCAATGTTTAAATTCCATTGCTTATAAGACAGGCAAATAATGTGGAGAAAAGTCCAGGCCCTACGACATTTGATATCATTGACCCAGTAAGTACAGTGTCTGCTGACTACAGTCAAGGAAATGAAGCACTCTTTGGTGAACATGCTGGTAAGCAATATGTAGCAGTGTCACTTACTGCCAGTATTTACCATCAAATAGAACATATCAGTGAATGGACTTCAAAACTCACTGATAAAAGTATTTCAAGTTCTAGACTAAACTTTACTTGTTGTTTTTTAACTGTTGGCATCAATGCAGTTGCAGTGTTCAAACATTCTGAACAAAGCTTTAAAAATTTTACTCTTATGCAAAGGATTTTTATGGTATGTCACGTTCATTCGGGAATGACTCTGCTTGAAATCCTTGTATCATATTTGCAAATGTCTTGCTTAGAAACAGGGGTTGTTCCTTTGGAAATTAAAGGCGTCTTTATAACTGACTGTCAACCTGAACTGGAAAATGTTCACAGTAACCAAGAGAATGAACAGTTCTCTTTGAGTGTTAAAATAACCCAGAACAACTCGTTAACAGAAAAGTGTTCAGATGAAACAGCAGAAATGAAGAAAAAGTTGATTGGGCAACTTGAATATGAGAAAAAAAAAAGAAGGGCAAATGAAAGTGAGGAATCTAGGCAAAAGAGGCTGGCACAAAAGCGTGAGAACAGGAGAAAGAAACAAGAATCGAGACAAAAAAGGCTCGCAAGTCAATCTAAGTATCAAAAAGAAAAAAAATGCTAATTAATCTGTGAAATGCAGGCAAAAGAGATTGACAAAGCAGTCTCAGTATCAGAAAGAAAAAACTGCAAATGAATCTGTTGGATGTAGAGAAAAGAGACTGGCAAACCAACGTCAGTATCAGAAAGAAAAAACTACAAATGAATCTGTTGAATGTAGGGAAAAGAGACTGCTATCAAAACAAGAATATCGCAAAAGTATTTTCACCAATTTAACCAGTACTTATGAAATCTGAAAATTCCATGCTGCTGTTTCTAGGGGTCCACTGCACATTTGTTCTTGTTGTGACCAGTTGTGGTATAGACACAGTATTCTTGCTGCTGAAAAGCTAAGACTTTTCAACCTTGATGCAGAAAAATGTTTATTGATATTGAATGGATCTGTCAGTCTTGTGACAAACATCTGAAGAAAAGCAATACCACCCTGGGCAGCTAGGAATGGTATGTCTTTTCTAGTGAAACCAGACTATTTTGATATAAATGAGTTGGAATGCAGACTTCTAGCACCTAGATTAGCTTTTCAAAAGCTTATGCAAGCCCCAAGAGGAAATCAGTTGAAAATAAAAGAATTTTTGTCAATGTACTAGCAGATGTTAACAATACTGTTAACATTTAACCATGGTTACCTCAAGAGATTGGAACAATAAAAGTTCAACTAAAAAGGCAATTGCAATATAAAAGTTCAGAACTGTCTTAAAATGTAAGATCATATCAAAATTTACAAGCAGCAAACTGGCTGGCTGATAACAGTAACCTTTATAAAGAACAAGGAATATCCTTCAGTGAAGACAGGGTGGCAAGCTGTGATATAAACTTGCGAAATGTAACTGAGAGTGAAGATAATTCTCAAGCTACCTGTAATGAACATATAAGTTATACATGTAATGCTGAAAAGACTGCAGACGAAGAAACAAGTTAAATTTATGATGATTGGACTGAAGAGGATGCAGAAATACCTGCAGGAGTAATTGATACTTTGTTAACTGCAACTGACTTTCTTGATGACAATGAACGGCAACAAATTCACAACATTGCATGTGGGGAAGGTAGTGTACCTCTGAGTATATTTAGAGACAAATATTCTGAAGATATAGCCTATCCAGGAGTGTTTCTAGGTCAAAGGCGGCCCAAAAATAAAGAGAGAGTAGTTGATGTTCCTTACAGTGATGTTTGCAAATCAGAATTAAGAAGATCAGATCGACGAGCTGCGATGTCTGTGGAGAATATCCTTTTTTAAACTAAAAAATTACAAATAAAGATTCTGCTAGGAAAATCTCAAATAGCATTACGAAAATGTAAAGGGAACAATAGATGTCTTACAGATGGTCAGTTAAAGCAAAAATGTACACTGGAAAGATTAGTTCATTTTGATTAAGGCTAGAAACTTTAAAGAGCACTTCGTGGCTCACCTCCTTATTTTGAGAAGGCCAAAAAAAGACATCTTTGCGATGATCAGAAATCTAGGACCTGCTACTATATCTTGTAGTTTTCTTAGAATACTTGGCAAGCTTGTTGACGATAAAGAATATTCGGATAACGAACTAGGAAAAATGAACTGAGAAGAAAAGTGCAGGCTAATTCAGAGTGATCCAGTAACTGCAAGGCATTTTGTCTATCAATTCAATCAGTTTTTAAAGCATTTTTTAATGAGCAATGCTGCTCCCTTGGGGAAAATAACAGACCGGTTTTACAGAGTCGAACATTAACAGAGGGGCTCTCCTCATATTCACGTGTGAACTTGGCTTGAAGATGCGCCAGTGTTTGGATGTGATGACGACCATGATGTGACATCATTTATCGATAAAATAATAACTTGTAAAAAATCAAAAAATGATCTAGGATTAGAGCTTCTTGTCAGTAGACAGATTCATAGGCACTGCCAAACTTGTCGTAAGAAGTCAAAGGCAGGATGCAGGTTTAATTTTCCACAACCACCTATGACGTCAACAACCATTTTGTATCTTCTTGGTGATGATGTATGTGAAACTGAGGTCAGAAAACATAAAGATACTTGAAAAATAGTATGGCATGAAAGAAGGTGAAGACGTCACATTTGACAATTGCTGATTAATCTAAACATCACTAAACGGAACTACCATCTTGGTATTCAATCAAGTCTCACTTCTCCTACGATATTTTAAAAAAGAAAACCAAATGAACTAAGAGTAAACAAATATAATAGTCCCTGTCTGAGTGCCTGGAGGGCAAATATGGATATCCAGTTTGGGTGTGATGTTTATGTTTGTGCTGTGTACATTGTGTCATATATTTCAAAAGCACAAAAAGGAATGAGTCAGCTTTTACAAAGATCAAATGAGGAAGCCAGAGCAGGAAATTCCAGTATAAAGCAATATATAAGAGACATCGGTAACCAAATTTTGCATGCTGTGGAAATAAGTGCCTAGGAAACAGTTTACATGGTCTTTCACCTACCAACGAGAAAAAGTTCCAGAGAAGTGATTTTGATGATGACTCAGAAGTTCACTCATTATTCCAATAATGTATCAACACCTTATGGAGGTACAACTGTGTATAGAAGAATCCCGTACTTACCTGGGTATCCCTACTGTCACAACATACGTAGTATTGAAGTTACTGTAATAAAGATTACCATTTATGAGGATTGGACAATACTAGGGATATATCGCTCACCAAAGGAGCCTGTAAGAAAGCTTTGTCCAGTAATTTCTGAAATATGAAACGGCACTTTAAAAGATCGTATTATTGTGAAGACTTTCAGTATCAACGGGCTCACTGAAACAGAGACAAGACCTTTACGTAATCTAATAGTAAGGGGCAAGCATTACAAACAGTGGATACCAAGTTATACAACTGACCATAAAACAGTACTTGATCAGATATATAGAAACATATCACACTTACATGTAGATATACAGACAAATGTTTTAGAAACATATTTCACGGATCATAGAGCCGTTTGGGCCTCATTTCATGCTATTCAGTAACAAAAGATCATATTACATCAACAGTACAATGTGAACTTATAGAGAACAAAAGAAACAAACCATCAAAATAATATAATACAGAGAGTTGTCCCTCTTTTCAAGACAACGCTTTTATTAATTAATAATAATAAACAGATGCCGACACAGAGTTTGATTAAGTTTCTAAGATACATCTATTTAGTTGGCCTCTTTCTAAACAGTAACTGCATTCAAACATAAACAACATTGCATTTTTAAGGCAGCGAATTTTGTAAGTTAGTGGAAATCCACAAACTACTCCCTTCTACAAGCATCATCCACAAGTAAATCTTCAACCCCCACTCACTACACCCTCCCCCTAAAAAAGTCTCGTTTGAACACCCACCCTTATCATGTAACCACAACTTACTGAAACTTAGCATTTGCATTATGAAAATTATAAAATTAACCCTTTAATCATCAGTATGGTGACACTTAACATAATTACATTGCTTCTCAATTTATCACAAGAAACTATGACTGTGAATAATTGTATTATATTTGTCATGTTCCAAACAGATCCAATCAGAGCAGTATGGAATTCTACATTTACAATAGTAGCACTTCACTAGACATGAAAAGACACATGATGTACAAGTAGCATGATAGCTGTTACATACAGTAAAAAATGGAATTAAGTAATGGCCTTCCAGGAATTCTGTGGGAGTTAAGTCTGAAACAAGAACTCAGAAACCAAAGCAGTGAAGCTCAATGAGGAATGGAAAGAGGAACACTCCACTTATATATTTAACTCTGTAATCTTTATTTGACTTCATATGCAAGAACTTAGATACATGCACACTGTAGATGTACTTTTCTTGCAGCACAATTATTATGAACATCACTTTCTTCTGACCATCATTCCCCTAACAACCATCTTATCAGAAGAGGCATTGTAACAATATGCTTTTCTTCGTACTAGATTTACAATGCAATTTTACCACATCTGCTAAAATATTAATGTTGACAAGCCAAGAAAGATACTTCATTGTACATATAGCAATCTCTATACAATGATCACACCAACTTGTTAGGACTACACTGGATTTTAATACTGCTGGCAAATTCTAAATTCAACACTTGTGAGTAAATATCGTTGCCAAAGACTCGGTTACTTCATTTTGCAAGAAGCTGAAGTAATTAAAACCTAACCATGTTGGGAGGTGCGATGCTCTTATGTTTAAAGCGCTGGACTACAGATAGAACGGTCCACATTTGAGCAGTTGTCAAGGTCATTGTGATATGTTCCTGGAATATACTACTGGTAACTTGATGCTAAGGACACCAGACGTAAGGGCCAGCCTGATGGGCCACTTTGCTCAAACGCAGACTTTCTCTTCCTTACCTATATTAAGACTTCATGAACAAGTTATTGTCACATCAGTAATTAATATTTTGTCTATAATGTCAATTTTATGTACAACTAAAAGTATTTGACTTACGTATCTTAACAACCATGTGAAAACCTATGTTTTTTTGATTCACAAATTTTACCTCAATTTTTGTATTAATTAGCTTCCATTCCCTACTTTCACGCAGCACCTCAACACAAGGATGGGTATTATAACCATTGCAACAACAGTATACTGATAATTTATTTGAGAATTAGCAACTACATGCAGACCTGTTTTAAAATCCATTCGGAAATTGTAGACTACCTCCAAAGGTAGTCCTCTTTATCCGTTCTGAACGGAACAGTGGAAATTTCCTTACCGTTTGCTAAATTTCTAGTTTCCAGTCTCTCATCAGCCGAAGACAATTGCAATTGCAAATGGTAAGCGCCATCTCGTTCGGCCGGTCATCCCAACCGGGAAATCAAGTCGTTAATTTGAAAGAGAGAGGAGGCGAGGGGTTCCAAGCTTTGACTTCGACTCTATGGCGTGAATAAACCTTACGCCTAAATAAGATATTGCAAGAGATGTAAAGATTGAATATATCATGCGATCTTTGCTCACATGAATTTTGGTTTCAAACAAGCTAGAGGTAAAACTCACAGGTCCGATGGAAAGGAAGATCAGTACCCCCCCTTCCCCCCTCCCGATTCTTCTTCCTTGATTCATCATTGCATCTTAATTATTATCACCCTCAACATCATCCTCATGCACGGTTATAATCACTGTCGTCGCCATCTCAGCCATAATTATCATCCACATCAGTAAGGCGTTTCCTGAATGGCCCCAAAACATTCCAGCACCATATTCCATAGAGGAAATGCCTAAAGTCTTTCACAATGTTTGTATTTTGAAGAATAAGAGGCCTGATGATTCACCTCCAGTTATCTTTTTCTAATTCTCAGAGAAGGCGAGAAGTGGAGTCGACTGCGCAAAGCCTTAGCACCCAAGATGCTGCGTCCTAAAGGAATACGTGAAAATCTACACAATTTCAATGGGGTCGCTAGGGATGCCATAACGCACATGGCTGCACTGCGAGGAATTGGCGGTAAGATTCCAGATCTTGAAGGGGAACTTTCAAAGTATGCTTGTGAATGTAAGTCTTAAATGTGATTTATTCCAAATTGATTTGCATTAATGAAGCTACTTTTTCTGCTTGCATTAATCACTCAACCTAGTAAATATAGAAAACTTTAATGAATATCCTGAAGGTAGAGAATACTTTGATCCAATATGACTGGCGTGGTGGTGAGAGCACTCGCTTTCCACTTAAAGGGCCTGGGTTCGATTCTTCAACCTGGCGTCACATGTAGCTTGGGTTTATAATTGGATTTCCTCCTCGCTCCGAGGGTTTTTTCTAGGTCCTCTGGTTTTCCTCCCTCGGCAAAAACCAACATTCTAAATTCCAATTCGACCTAGAAACAGTGGACGTTGAAGACGAGCTAACTCGTGGATTTTCCACTGCTTAATCGTTTTATCACGTGATTATTAATCGTTATCATTATTAATCGGGTATTCACGCGCACACATGGAGCACTCACCCCGTTTCTGACTTGATAGATGCGCCAATCCTTAAAATAAATAAATAGCCAGAAGTACGTAATCCACTGCAAGAAAATTTTGCTTGACGCCTTTCTTTGCGAGGTCACCTTTATGATCTCATCATCGTTTGTAACGCAAAACATTTATTTCGTTGTTACGTGAACGATTCCATTTTCAGCCATCTTAGCGTACTCGACGTGTGTGCGCTTGAGTGAACACATGTTTGTTCTTGTTTAAGCTATAGGAACGATGGCGTTTGACGTTAGAGTTGGACTCTTTGACGACCCACCAAGCAAAGAAACTAAGAAAATGCTGAAAATGATCAAAGCGGTCTCTGATGGATTTGCACTCTTGGCAAAACTGAACAGCGGATGGGAAGAACTTCTTCATAGATTTATGGAGCCACCATCCTACAGAAAATTCGTCGAAACTCAAGACATCATGTTCTCCGCCAGCCAAGAGATTATTGACAGAAAGGTTATGGAACTGACCAAAATGGCAGAAGAAGGCAAACAGTTTCCTGAAAATCAAGGTGAGCTATACGAATATAAAAACGACACCTTTCAGTCATAAAGCTTCTTCAAGTGCGGGCCTGTTAATTTACCATTCTATTTTGAGCTTTTTTCAAAATGTTGTATGTTTCTTAAACACCGTAGTTCAGTGGCTTGTGCTGTTGTTTGTTAACAACACATCACCCAGTCCTTTTCACGCTTGACCGCTGTGTTGGCGGAGGCAAGGAAAACGACTCTACCGTGAGAACTGACACTAGTCAAGAGATTACAAGCAGTTTATGACCTCTTGCAATAGTCATTAATGAAGAGATTTGATTCCCTTCTGAAGGGTAAAGTTATAAGTACTCTTTACTTTGTTATAGCTGTTTCTATGCTGGCGTATCTCATCATGAAGGGTGACCTCACGCCCAAGGAGATCAGCGTCAATTCTATTTTCATGTTTAGGGCGGGCGTCGAATCGGTAAGTTATAAAGCAATTGCCTCTTTATAGAAAACAAGAACATCAATTCGACCGGTCAAATAAAGTAGGAAAATTATTTCCAAGTTAAAAGATCCGTCCGAATGACATATGTCCACGTTTTCTTCAAAGACCACAAATGGATTGCTGTGGCTCCTTTACGATCTGGCCCGAAATCCGAGGGTGCAGGAAATGGTGTTCGAAGAAGTAAACTCCCTGATTGGGCCCCATGGAGATTTTACTCCCGAAAGCTTTGCAAAGTTGGAGTACATTAAGGCTTGTGTCAAAGAGAGTATGAGGTAGAAGTAATGTTGTTGTTGTTGTTTTTTTATCTTAGAGGTACTTTTAATTTTAAAATAAGCGAACAGAAAGATAGTGAATGGCTCCTCGTACAATTCCCAGTTCAAATTGAACCCCTACGATGCGAACTAAGTCTCTAAATTGTTCTCTCAGACTGCATCCAGTTACACCAGCCTGGACGCGTGTTCTGACACAGGATCTTGTTTTATCCAGTTACATGGTTCCATCAGGGGTAAGTGCTTAACGATAAGTTATGAGTGACGAGGACTATGGCAAGAGCGATAGGTCCTTCTTCCAATCGCCCACGGCATAGTTTCTTTTCCCCTTTGCCAAAACCCCGCATGTATATTAAAAGACTCCCAAGAGCCAGGATATTTAGGCTACTAGTTCAACTCTTGAGTCTTAGTAGCAGAGGGGGGCGGGGGCAATCGCGAAGAGGGCAGTATCCCCAGGACACCCCCTTCCGGCTCGGGTAAGCTCCTTAGTGAGTTATGTGTTCGAAAGTGATTCAACATTCCAATGGTGTTGAAAGAGGTCTATCAAGTTGGTGACTCTTCAACTAATCGAGAAAAAAATGAAGCGTGTTACGTACTTATGACTTACTCGTATAATTTGTTCGCTTGCGTTCGTCCGACAATTGAAAGCATAATGATGACTATACCGGAAGTACCGACTGATCGTGTTTGACCATGCATTCTATTCAGACCA